CATGGTCTCTCATCTGCTGCTCTGGCTGCCCTAAAAATACTGCCAACCCCCCTCCTGCTTGCATCTCACTGCATGGCTGTGCTGTTTTCCTGCCGTCGCTGGTGCTTCAACGCATGGGGTTTGTTTCTGGTCTCTTTGGGTGTTGTCCAGGCTGAATTGCCTTACCCAAAGAGCAGGGCTGGGCCTGGAGTATGCTGGGAACAGCTCTGTCGCTCCCAGGAGGTCTGAGTTGGGCCATTTGCTGCGTGATGTGATGGTGTCGTGAAGCTTTCAAGGGGGTGTACAGAGCTCCAGAGGCGTACAGGGGGTGGTGGGGGAGTTGCTAGTGTTGTGAATACGAACTTCTTAGCAGGAAAACTGGAGTCTGGTGAAGTTTAGGAGTTGCAGCTCCGTCCTGCAGAATGCAGACGAAGGATTTGTTTTCTTTCCCTGCCTTGGAGAGCTCTGTCTTCTCTTGAAACTGTCTTCCAGATATAGCAGCAGTTGCTAACACTGAATGAATGCGTGCTGAATTTAGGCTGCTGTGCGTCGTGCAGGCTTCAGTCGTCTGGCTTTGAGCTTAGCCAGAGCAAGCGAAGCTGCTCTGCTTGGGTGGCGTTGTCCCAGTTGTCCGACTATAAATAGCAAACGGAGCCCAAGTGCTTCTTGAACTGGCTTTGGAAATTTCCCAACCTCACCTTGGAGGAGGGGTTTGTGCCAAGGCACATCAGCCCTTGGCACAGTGGGGCTGAGGGCGGTGAATGCGCAGCGTGATGCACAAGGACCCATAAGCGCGTCGATGAGGTGGCAGGGTTGCTGTGGGTGCCGTGTGTCCGTGTCCCTGTGATCCCTGTTGGGCAATACCTGAGGATGCTGAGGAAAGAGCGTTGAGTCAGTGCAATGCTGTCACACAGAGAGGTCTTCAGCAAGGAGGGAATGTCCGAAGTGGAGACATGGAGATGGAAGGGCTGGAGTGAGGTAAAATCATGGAATGGGTTGGGTTGAAGGGACCTTAAAGCTCATCCAGTGCCAAGCCCTGCCACGGGCAGGGCCACCTTCCACTAGAGCAGCTTGCTCCAAGCCCCTGTGCCCAACCTGGCCTTGAACACTGCCAGGGCTCTGTTACCCTTTGATGCTTTAACACATCACACCCTTCATCCTTGAGGTTCAGTCCATATTCAAGGCTAAGAGTGGTGGATGATGCTCTTGTTCTGTTGGTGTTATTGTCAATGCAAGAATTCTGCAGGTGTCTCTGAGGCTGGAGTGTTCCCCAGTGTCTGGCTGGCTTGCTCTTTGCACCTCAGCACAGCAACAAACTACATGGCTCCCCCATGGGTGGATACTTTGGGCTTCATCCCATGAGGTGCTTGTATCCAGGAGCAGTGCCAGCAGGGGAATTAGCTCTTCCACAGGGTTGCATTGCACAGTTGGATCCAAATACTGCTCACATCAGTGCAAAACAACCACTGCTGCTGGTCTGGAACACAGTCCCACTCACCCCATGGCCTCCCTGTGCCACAGTGAATGACCACGTGTGCTCAGGGGGACAGAGGCTCCATGCTGGAAAGGTGGGTGCTCAAGGTAGGGAGTAGGAGGAGCACAGAGTGAACCAAGCTGGAAAAGACCTTTAAGCTCATCCAGTCCAGCCATTCCCAGCACTGCCAAGGCCACCACTGACCCATGGCACTGAGGGCCTTGTCTCCATGGTGTGTGAGCACTTGCAGGGACAGTGGCTGCAGCCCTGCCCTGGGCAGCCTGTTCCAATGCCTGAGCACCCTCTGGGGAAGGAATTGTTCCTCAGCTCCATCTAAACCTGCCCTGGTGCAGTTTGAGGCTGTTTCCTCTTGTCCCATCCCTTGTTCCTTGGGAGCAGAGATCGACCCCACCTCACTACCACCTCCTTTCAGGATGGAGGTAAATACCTGGGGAAAGAGCTGGAAGCTGAGGGTATCTCATATTCATCTCCAGAAGAGACTCATATCTCTCAATGGAGAGGTTTTCCAGGTGCAGAGTGTCCCCAACAGTGGTGCCTGCCTGGAGCATCCTCCAGTGTCCATGAGTGGGACAGGAGCAGGAGTTGCTGCTGGCCCTGTGTGGCTCCGAGCTTCTGGCACTGATAGCTGATGGCTTTTATTGGTCTGTTTGTGCATTGTGGCGTGTAATGTAGCATCCAAAAAGCACTACTGGTCTGAAGTAATCCCTCAAACCAAGACCCAGACCTTTGCTTATTTTAGAAATGACTCATTTGATGTTATGGAGATGAAATAAGCAGGTAGGGCTTCCTGGGGCATTTGGGTTACTTGACAGGATTGCTCTCATCTATACTGATTCACTGGGTCATGTTAGGTGATCCTGGACTTCTCGTCCATCTGCTTTCCCACTTTCGTCTCCTTCTTTGCCTCTTTTATTCCCTTTCTCCACCTTTTGTTAGAGTAGACCCAGTTTTCCTGCACCTCCTGCTCTGCAAGGAGAGTGAGATGACATAGGAAGGTGTCCTGATCCATTTGGTGTTCCAGTTGCAGCTAGAAGGATATCAGCCTCTTACTTGGGTCATGGAGCAACATGTCCAGGGAACCTCTGGAGCATCCTGCTGTCCTGGAAGTGCCTTGGAGTTCAGCTTCCACAGAGGGTGGAAGAAGGGCATGGAGGCAGCCTCCAGGGAGAAGTGGATTCCCTGATGCTGCAGGAAGGAGTCAGGACATCCCCCTGGGAGCACTTCTCCTGGGGATGTTCTTGAGCCTTCACGGAAGGAGAATCTCTTACGCAACGGAGGGGAAACCAGGGCTGATGCTGAGGCTGCTTTTTCAAGCGCTGCTCTTGTGTAAGAGCGAAGCCTTGGGCAGCACAGAAAATGTGGAGAACATCCTCCAGTCACTCAGGCCAGCTCAACGTGAGGGTTGCTCCGTGAATCTTTGCCTTTATGAGTACCTTCAGCTTCAAGGGTATGTAAATTCTCCAGGTTTGCTCAGGGCTCGATGCACTTCAGTTGAGGAGGAGATTTCCATATGTAGCCTGGGGGTGCGACTACCGAGTGAAAGGAGTCTCTTCTCTTCCTGCCATAGACTCTTTTCTTCATGTCGCTGCCTTCAGCAACACTTCAGAGGCTGGGGAAAGCGGCTGCTTTCCAGCGTTCCCTTCCAGTGGCTGCAGGGTGGGAATATTCACAGCAGAGAGGCTGTATCTGAGATGGGAAACACATCCCCACATGTCCTTTTTGCCATCCGTGTGGGCTCACCTTTGCTCCTCTGGCTTCTGGCCCTGGCCCAGGGTTGTGGCAGGGACCAGCACATGGCTCCTTGCTGTTGCAGGGATGTGGAGGATGGAGGGCTGACCGTGGAACACTGGTATGCAGGAGCTTCCCTTGGGGCTCATGTCCTGGCTTCTGAGCTCCTGGCTCCTTCTTTCCTCCTTCCAGCACTGCACCAACACCTCACTGCAGCAGGAGAGGGGTCCCCGAGTGAGGATGTGGTGGTGTTGGTGGGCAGACTTGCACTATGGTCCATTTACCTTGAGCACTGCTTCCACAGAGACCAAGCCTGAGAGCAGACACACTTCCCCATATCTCAGGGCTGCATCAAAGCCTGATGAAGCTACCAGCCCTGTGCTCAGCCCCCTTTGTGGCCTTGCTGCTCCCCTCAGCACTGGGGCTGAGATGCGCTGGATCCTCCTCATCCTCGGTGGCACTTCCATCCCCACAGCACAAGTGCAGAACAGAGCAGAGGTGGCAGTGGCTCAGGAAAGGGGTTCCCCAAGCAGGGGGACATCCCAGGGTGGCTGGGTTTGGTCTGGGTCCCTGTGGCATGGGACAGGCAGGACCAGCAGCGCTGCCTCACGCCGCTGTAAGCATTGAAGCGCAGCGTTAAGCAGATCTGTGGCTTGTGATCTTCATTCAGCGTGGTCAGCCTCTTTGAAACTGTGGGTTAGTTAATACAGAGGCCTTAATAAGCAGTTGCTGTCTGGGTGATGACTGGAACTGGAGGTGCCCTGGTCCCTTGATGCTCTGGAAGGTTTGGAGGGTGGTTTTGTAACAGACAAAGCTGGGGGGTTTGGGGAATTCAGTTGTTTAGTGCTGTAGACTCTCAATCCCTGCTTAGGACTGTCCAGCAACCAGTGGAAAAGACAGTTCTTGGGTTTGAGAACAGACTGTATTCAAATGATGGGATGGACATGCTATGACCTAGCAGAGAACTGCTGCAGGGACTGCTTTCAAGTGGTGGGTTTGACTTCCGGAAGCCATGGCTTGTATGTTTGTTTTCCCAGTATCCAAGGGTTGAAATCAGCCACGCTCCAAGTGTTGCCATTTAGATTTCCCTATATTAATGTTGGTTGCTAACCAAGACCAGATCTTTCCTAAACACGTCTGGTGCCTGGGCACGATCAGCCTTTCTTCTAAGGCTGAAGAGCTGCGAGGGTCTGCTTGAGGTTAGAAAGCACCGCCAAGGGTTGGGGTTTGTGGCTGCGTTGGTTGCTTTGGCTGTGGCGGCTCCCTTTGAGGCAGGATCTCTGGCACGGAGCTCCATGGAGGTGCCTGGGCAAGTTGAACCTGTGGCAACACATTCTGCTCCACGTGGGCTGCGTGCTGGAGCTGTGGGCAGCACAGGAGGTGGTTTGCTGGGGTTTTGCTGGATCCCATGCGGGGAGAAGCGATGGTCACACCGGGCTGCTGCACCTTGGGCTCCGGTTGTAGAGTTCTTGGTGGGCTCAGATGGGCCTGGGGATGGCTGGTGCTGGACCCAGGACAACCCGCCTGCTCCAAACATAGACGCTGTGGCTTGGGATTTGAGGAATGAGCTGGCAAAGCGGCATGGGGATGGCCTGGAGGATTCCTCACAGCCTCAAAAGCACGCACCTTCTGTTGCCCCAGTCTTTCGTGGTGAGGTGAGAGTTGTTGTGCAGAGTTTCCTCTTTATATCCTCTTATGTCACGCTCCCTCGCCGGCTGAGTGCACCCAAAATAGCTGCCAATCCCAGGAGGTTTCACTTCAAGGTCTCTATTCTTAGCTTGCTGGTTAGCTGAGCAAGCCGCCTGCCTCAGTAGTCATGAGTTCAAGGAGCGTAGGGTAAAGACTCAACCCTAAGTCATGCAGGAGTTCTCTCTGTGTTTCGTGGCAGCCTTGAAGGGGCAGTTTGGGCAGAGCCCGACTCAGCAGCCTCAGCCTCGCGTGCTCAAAAGGAGAGCCGCATGGATGTGAGGGTGAAATGAGAGCTGCTGGAGCTGGGATTTAACTCCGGAGGAGGCGGACGGCTCCGGAGCCGGGATGACTCAGTACGTGAGAGTCTCTTCAGTGGCCTGTTGCGTCTGCCCCATCTAGGAGCAGCCTTGTCAGAGAGCAGCCTTCTCAGATGCCTCTTACCGCTGCGCTGATGATCGGATGCGTGCGTGCGCGGCAGGGCTGAAGCAGAAGTGAATGTGGGATGCGGAGCGGTGGCTTCCCAGGAGCGGAGCTGGCTGGTGTTGCACCGAGGCTGAAGATACCTGCTGCGCTGGTGATGTTCAGCCCATCCTGTAAGTGCCTGTCCCATCCCGTGGGGGGCTTTTTCCTGCCTTGCATGGCTGTGATTCCTTGGTTCGCTCGTGGTGTGTATGGGAGCATCCTTGTGTACACAGCGGTTCGCGCAGGGGCCTGAGCTGCAACTCTAATCTGTGTCTGGTGGATGCAGCTACCTCTGGGGCAGGGTTGAGGTTTAGATCGCCCCTATGCAGAGTCCCTGCTCTGGAGCTTTCTGAAGCCTTGTGGCCACAGGAGGGGAGCAAACAGCATCAGTCCCAGTTGCACCAGCACACACAGGACAGGCTCATCGGTTCCCTCTCTGCCTTTTCTGGCTGTTTCACTGGCAACTCAGCATTCACCCACCAGCTCTTGCTCGGATCTGCTGAAGGTGCTGCCTAGATGGATGCAGAGGCACCTCTCAGAGTCCTTCATCAGGACTTAGCTATTTTCAGAGTGTGTTTTGGGAGAGATCTTGTTTTCCGGGCTCCATTTACATTCCTTTGTCCTTTTCAAACTATTGTTGAAGCTTTGCTTGGGTTTAGATGGGTTTCAACCCTGGAGTGGATCAGAGCACAGCAGTCCGGCATTAGGGTACGGGTAGGAGCGGCATCCTGCGCCTCAGAGACTTATGGCACAGGAGGAGCAAGCCCATCCTGAGGACAAAAGGTGCTGGCCGTGGCTTTTGCTGTGTGCTGCGGGGTCGCTTGGGACGTGGGGTTGCTGGGGAGGGAGCGTTGTGTACGGAGCTCGCATCCTGCCTACGCTGCGGGTACCGGTCACGTGCGGACGAGGCCTTTGTCCTGAGCCTGGCTGCTTTTTGAGAGTTTATTTTTAGGTGCTCTCTGGCTTCCTCTTCCTCCCTCGCTGCGCTCCCTCCCTCTTGCGAGCTCCCTCTTCTAGGATTGCTTCTTGAACAATCAGTTCCTCCTTAAACCCAGTTTTGCAGGGCCTTTGTCTGCGCTTGGGAGCCTTCCCAGCTTTCGCCTTAGCAGCTGCTGGCTCCTTTGGGGTAAGCAAGAACAAATCCAGGCTTACACTGCATGAAGCAGTTGAGCCTGAGCTGTCTTTCAAACTGGAGACAGCTGTGCAGCCTCTGCACGGAGCCTGCCTGGAGGGCACAGAGGCTCCTTGGATAGAAACTTCTCCTGCCAATGGCCTGGGCTTAATGGGTTTGTGCTGCTGATCCCTGCACTGCCCCAGTGAACTCCTCTGGGTGCCTCTGGTTACAAAGCACAGCTCTGGAATAACTCCCTTTCCTTGAAGGCTTGGTCTCCACCAACTTTGCTTACAGGCTCCTGTGGGAATTCAGCTTTTGGAATCATGGAATCAACCAGGTTGGAAAAGCCCTTTAAGCTCATCCAGTCCAGCCATTCCCAGCACTGCCAGGGCCACCACTGCCCCATGGCACTGAGGCCTCGTCTCCACGGTGTGTGAACACTTGCAGGGACAGTGACTCCAGCCCTACCCTGGGCAGCCTGTTCCATTGCCTGAGCACCCTTTGGGGAAGGAATTGTTCCTCAGCTCCATGTAGCACCTCCCCTGGTGCAGCTTGAGGCTGTTTTCTCTTGTCCCATCCCTTGTTCTTTGGGAGAAGAGACTTTGGGATGCTGTGAGTGGTTTGATCACCATCTGAAAGCGCAGAGTCTGGCTGCAGAGCATCGTGGTGGGACCCACATCGTGGTGGGACCCACATCGTAGTGGGACCCATGCAGTGGACAAGCTTTGGAGGCAGCGAGCTGTTGGCATCCCCTTGGGCTCTCTGCTAAAGCAAAGGGACACGGCGGAGTGGCAGCGCTGCAGGAGCCCTGGCGTGGCTCTGCTGGTTTAAGGGCAGGATTTGTAGATAAGCAGCATGCGTTGGTTTAAGAACAGCAATGTGGGAGAAGGGAGGGGAGCAGCAGATAAGCCTTGGGCTCGTGCAGGAGAAGTTTCCATCTGACGCTAGGGCAGGGAGTTGCACCAGGGACGGTGTTTTGCTGAGATGAACGGAGCAGTTTTCTCTCCCCTCCTCTCGTTGTCCTCATCTTCTGGTGCTTTAGATTAGACTTGGGTTATCCTCTTTCGACACCCGGCCTAACCGTAACGAAGAGCTCCCCAACAGATCTGCTGGTGTTCAGTGCGCTGCAGCCTTGTCCTTCTCCCAGCTCCTATCCCCTGGTTCTCAGAGCTCATCCGAGCCAGCAGCAGGCTTGGACATGGGATGCAATGGTGGCAAACTCCTCAGAGCTTCTTGCAGTTTCCCTTTATTTCAGTTCTCCAGAGGATATGTGCTGCAGGTCCTCCCCATGGTCCCAGGTTTGGGCTCTGTGGTTGGGATGCACTGCGCTCCTGCAGACTGGAGGTGCTGGTGGAGCTTCCTAACCTGCCTTCCAGGTTTGATTCATCCCACACTCAGGGCTGTGTATTGAGACCAAGAAAGGGATTTGGTGGCTTTGGTGCTGTAAGGCATTGAGGACACACTTGCAAGACCAAAAGTCCATCCTTTCTGGTGGGCCAGGCATTGAGAAGTGACGATGATCTCTTCTTTGCACGGTAGCATGGGCAAACCTTGCTGTTGACTCAATAACAGGAATCAGGGGATTAAAGCAGACCTTGGCTCCTGAATGCAAGCGGTCTTGGCACTTGGACTCCTCTATAGAAGATCCAGAGGCTGCTTAGAGCTGGGCTTGTGGAGTGCATGGTGGGTCATGAGTTGTCAGCGAGGTCTTCTCCTGCCTTGTTGGTGACCCCCCTAGGGCTCCCTGGAGCTGGGTTTGCTCTTATGGCCGAGGCACTTGCTCTACAAGCTAGGACAGTCTGGGGCCAAATCCAGGGAGCTTTTGCATGGAGGGTTCCTGAGGGATGCCCTCAGCTTCCTGCCACCCTATACTGATTACTGCTTGACTTCTGCTCTCTCTGCCCATGGGAGGCAGACTCTGAGTGCCCCAGTGAGCAAACAGGGCTTGGACAAGCGTTCCAAAGCTGGGGCTGGAACCTGCTTTTCTAGTATGACAGAGCAGCTCTCAGCCACTCTGCCTCTTTAAAGCAAGTGTACTCACAGAGGGTTTGGCTTCTCTGCCTGGAACTGATTTTTTAGCCATTAGCCATAGACAGGGCAAAAGTCCCTGCAGGCTTTATCCAAGCAGCTCATTGTGGAGCTGTCGGAGGTGCTTTGCATTGCAACGCCTTGTCTTGTGTGGTGGGTCCATCCCTGGCCATAATGGGCCTGCACGGATGCTGAGTGTCATCCCCCCCGCCTTCCTCATCAGCTGGATGCTCCATAAAGGGAGCAGGAATAATTCCCCTGGATTAAATCACAGCTCTTCTCTCTCTCCTTCCATCTCCAAGGCTCTGCCATGGTAAACAGCCGCTTGCTGGAGTAGGTAAGTGGAGGCAGTGCAGTCCTGCCAAGCCCTCGTGTCCACAAATGACTAAATCCTGCCTGAAAAGTCAGAGTATGAAAACATTAGTTTTGGGGTTTGGCTGAGCCTCGGGGAGCGCTGGGATCGAGCCCAGCAGGAGAGCAGAGCCATCCCTCTGAATGCGGCTGGAGGATGGCTCTGCTGCTGCAGACGTGCTTGGGGGGGGGAAGACAGGGGTCTGGGATGCTGGGGGGTGCTGGACCAGTGCTCCCAATGCTTGGACCATCCTTATAGCCAGGGCTCAGAGCTCCTGCAGATGCTGTTGTGCCCCTTGGCAAAGCGTGCTGGCTGCAGGGTGGTGCTGTGGCTGCGAGCCCTCCTGGGTCATCAATAACTGCTGTCTGGAGAGCTGGTGGAGGAGCTGTCTGCCAGCCCTGTGCAGATGCAGCAGCACCTTGCCTGGGTTGTCTGGCTTTTAAGCTGGCTTTTCTTCCATGTGCGCTTCCACGGTGGGGCCCTGCACGCAGCCACGTTTCTGGGTGCTGCCCTCATTCGTTTGCTGCTCTGACATCCCATGGTGGGACAGTGGGGGGGGGCTCGTTGCCTGCTTGGGGCTGAGGCAGGAGCCTTGTGGAGCTGTGTTGGGTCCATCATCCTGGCACAGCCTGGCTGGTTGGCTCTGCCATCGGCTCATAGGGAATAGGTGGATATGAGGTGTCCCTGCCTGGGGCAGGGGGTTGGAATTGGATGAGCTTTAAGGTCCTTTCTGATCCAAACCATTCTATGAGATAGGAGATGCTGATGCTCTGGGAAAGGAGAGCTCTGAGCAGCTCCGTGCTAAAGCCTCTTTGTGCATTTTGGTGTCTGGTTAACATATACTGGAGCAGGAACCTAAAAGGGTGGAGAGCAGCCTGGTAGTAGCCCAGTCCAGCTGGGTGCCCTGGTGTGCTCCTGGGAGCATCAAGTCTTGCTGCCTGAAACATCCAGCATGTTTCAGCTCGGTGGCCCAGGCTGCAGCAAGAGCAGTCAAGCAGAGCAGTGGCAGGCTTGTGATGCTCTGCTGGCTGCTCATCTGCTCCCAGTGGCTTTTGGTGACCATTCCCTGCCTCCACAAAGGAAGCCCCACTCCAAAGAGCAACCTCTATCGCTGCCTGCAGGATCTGACCCTTCTCAAAGGCTCTGCAGTGTCTGCATAGAGATAAGGGTAGGGTTTAAGGCCAAAAATTAGGAGAATTTCCTGCTGCTAGAGATGGAGCCTGGATAATCCCGATTTAGGGCTTTGACTCCCATCTGCCGCCTCCCTGGGCTCCCATGGGATGCTGACCTGCTTCCCAGCTTGTTGGGCTCTCCCAACTCACGCCCATTGCAGGGTCAGTGCCTCGCTATGGGATCTGTAGGTGGCTTGAGCACACGGATCCCTGCACTGAGGGCAGCCCAGCTCCCAGGTGCCGCCTCCTCCCGTGGCAGGGCAGAGCCCGGCAGCGGGCCGCCCGCTCCGCGTGGCCAGGCTCCGTGGGGAGACGCTGGTATGCGAGATGTAAACTCCATCGCAGCGTTTCGATTACAGCCCTGTGAAAAACATCAGCTCCCCTAAATGGAGCCCAGATGGTGGCGGAAGAAGCTGTGCAACGCATCGGAGCCCAGGGCCAGGAATTGCAGGAACCGGGTGAGCA